ATCCTGGCGCTGCGGCACTCATGTCACCGGCATTGCCGCCACACGGGCTGCATCTCGTCCCGAGAGCCAACTGTTGAAGGCCCGGGGCCGCTCAGAATGCTGGCATGTCGGCAGCCAATATGGATGCATTGGCTCGATCGGGCATATGGGAGAATTGCCGAGCCGCCTACGAAGATATAGTGAAGCACTTAGAGCGCCTGCGCGAAGAGCGCACGGATGAAAGGCAGCAGGCCATATGCGCCGGTGGAATCGATCGATGCGGCAGTGTTGTGAATGAACGGGAACTGAAGCCAAGAGATCTGAGTTCGCGCAATTGTAAGGCATACAGATGGCCGGTGGCTGTTGAGGAAAGTGCTGATAAGTTGTTTCGATTTGCGTACCCCCCAGGCTCCCCCACGCGCCAAAGTCCAGTTCTCAATTTGAGCAAGTCCGGCGGCAATACGGACCATGGCGGCAGCAACTGTGACGGCCGCAGCGAGCGCAGCGACTGTCTTTCGGCAGCGGCGTCGCCGCGTGGGTCGCGCAGCCTGGACGAAGGCAGTCGCAGCGTTGGCGGCGGCCCCATAATTGGCGTTGAGGACGACGAGGAGGAGGAGAATCTCAGCGATGAGAACCAATCCGAAGTCGATGAACGTTGCTTGGGCAAAGACGATGAAGGTGAGTAAACTTTGCTTTTCTCCGCGATAAGTAAAAACTCTGACTGACTGGCTCCGACTCTGACTCTGCTGACTCGGCTGACTCGGCTTTGTGTGTCTTTTAACAGACTTGAGTGACACGGAGCGTGATAATCTATCCACGGGTTCGGCGGCCGCTACTGCCGCCGCTGCCGCAGCTGCTGCTCATTTGCATCAACATGCTGCAGCCGCTTCGCACCATCATCAGGCCCATCAGGCACATCATCTGAGCGTGGTGGGCTCTCCGACTGCCGATGTGGCTGCCGCCGCTGCACTGCAGCATCAGCGCGCTCTCAACTACTCGCAGCTGGCGGCTGCTGCTGCCGTGGCCAATGGTGCTGCTGCTGGAGCCAGTGCGGCAGCAGCAGCAGCAGCAGCAGTAGCAGCTAATGGACCCTCAACTGCCGGCGGTCGAGCACTGACGCCTAACGAAGCCTTGTTGTCATCGACTGATGGAACTGCTGCAGCCGCTGCCCTGGCTGGCGGATTGGCGCTGGGTCCACTGGGCCTCGATGCGCATGCCGTTGTGCCCGCCAGCTCAACGGAAACTTTGCTGCGGAACATACAAAGCCTGCTCAAGGTGGCAGCGGACAATGCCAGGCAGCAGGAACGCCAGCTTAGCTATGAGAAAGGTAAGCCAACAAAACATTCCCCTTTCCCATATGCTAAATAAATCGTGCTCTTTGTGACCGTAAATAATTTCGCACTCTTCTCTCTTGTGTCTCGTTTCTTCTCGTACTTTTCCGCAGCCGAGCTTAAGATGGATGTTTTACGCGAACGCGAGGTCAAAGATTCCCTCGAAAGACAACTTGTCGACGAGCGCAAATTACGTGGTAGGTCTTAAGACCTTCAACCTTTTATTATTTTTTAATACTACTTTTTTTTATTAATTTTAATCAATGACAAAAACATAAACCAATTTGCACATTTATCGAATCGTTGAGCTGGAAAATACGCGTTCTCTAATCGATTAGAGCACAAAAATGTTGAGACAATTAAATAATTAAATTATAATTAAATTGCAAAAACATTTTGACTATGTTTTAAAGTTTAGACTGTGTGCTTAGGCATATATTTTCTTGATAGCTTAACAATAACTGAAACGAATATACTCTGTACACTTAATGGACGAGCATGGCAAAGCATCTGTGGCTGTGGCTAATCAAATCATTCATCATTCAGTCAATCAGAAGAAATACTCGATATTCATATCCAAATATGAACATTCATAAATTCTGTCTGTCTATTTATAATTTCTTATAAATTCTGCGCGCTAGTTGACTTAGCGCCAAGCCAGTCCCTTTTGCTGAAGGAGCGACGAGGAGTGCCTATGCCAACTCCAATCGTGTGCGCTTAATGTAAGCTGACTCAAATGACAATGACACCTGATATGTCGACTGGCCCACTCTTGCGCACTTCTCGTCTTTCTCTGTCGGCGCTCTCTGGTGGTCGTTCGGCTTGTTGCGCCGGACTCGCATAGGTTTTAAGTCCGAAAAGCTGCCGTTCTCTGGCTCTGGGCCGTTGCGACCTTTTCAAGAGAAATCACAATTCAAATGAATTTAATATCATTTCATTATTTAGTTACACTCGAACGATTGGCAAAAAGTAGCAACTCCATCGTCGACTACGACAACGCCACATCATTAGACGCAGCGCGCTGTGAGAGGGCGGAGGGAGGGAGGGGGCAGAGAGGCAGGGGGCACGAGCACAGAGGGTCTCGAGTCGTTCAGTTTGGAATTTGAGTTGCTTTTGGTTACAGACAAAAACTTTGATTTGACGCACACACAAAAATCTTTTAATTGGTTGTTATTATGTTTATGATGACTCCGAGAAGACTAAAAGGGTTGTCAAAGGCGGCGGGTGTGAGAGCTTTCCAGTTGGCATAGAACTCTAAGGGTGAGCCGCCGACTTTGTCAACGTGAACGTGAGCACAGTTCTTCGATTGTAATAAATTTTTGAAAGCTCAAATCTGAAATCTGAAACCCACAACAGTTAATTACTGAGCTGGCAGGCTATTAAATATCATTCCACTATCACATGGACACATATAAAGTGAAAATGAAATTAATTTGCATGCTCCCATTTGATAATTATAAATTATCACGAATACAAATTGATATCAAAGCCAAATTAACATTTCGGATAATTTCTAAGCAAGCCAAAACTTTGGTTTTTCCTCTTATTGAGCTGACTAATTGTATGAAGCCATGTGAGCGCTTTCAAATTATTGGAGCCGACATTTGGAATAGCCTTCACTTATTTGTAAATGCAAATTTCAAGTCGAAAAATTGTTAACTCTGAACTGCAATTGTGGTTGGCTTTTATTCGCTGCTGTTTGCAGGGCATATTGATTTGTAGGAGAAGTATGTAACAGGGCAAAATGTATAAAGCAAAGCATTCTATGCTCTTTAGTTGAGGCTGAATTTAGTTGAGTTAGTCAAGTCATGGATATGCTTTACTTCTGCTAGAAATTAAGAGTTATTAGTGGAAAGCTTTTCATGTGGCAGAGTGCGTACTTTAAGAGTCAAGTCAAGCAGCCTGTGTAGAGTCGACTCTACTTCATTGCAGAGCTAGCAGCTATGAAGTAGAAGCCTCTTCATAAATCTAACTGAAATACAAATCAGCTGCAGTTGTTAATTCTGCTCACAATAAGTTGAGTTTCTTTCAAATTTCGGGCAGCAAATCATTCAGTGAGCAAACAGCATTGAAGCCACTAGAAATTGTGTTGTGTGTGTGGGCCCCACGCCACATTGATATTGCTGCAACAACTGTGCAAAAAGCCACACAGGCATCTAATTGCCATTAATAATAAAGCAAGCCGATAAATATCTTGTGGTTGTCGAACACGCCAGCCAATCGGCCATTGCAATGAAAGATGGAGTGCAGCGGAGCCAGCGAACGAAAGCAAAAACAAAATATCTTTGCAAATTTGGTATTCGGGGCGATAGTTTAGCTCAAGCGCGCCGCAGACTGGCTGTTGCTGGTGCTGATGCATTTGCTACACCCTTTAAATGAATGTTACCACGCTTGACTAACCTAATCAATGTTAATTTGATGATGTACCAGTTCCTTCGACTTAACTGGCGCACGTGAGGGCGGATGCATAATAGACGATAAATCGATTCAGTTAATGGATGAGTTCAGAGGGCAGTGCAACGATTGACAACGGACAGCACTCAATTGTGGTTTCTTTAGCCATGATTAGGAACAGTTCTTTTATGTGATCGAAGGGGGAGTCTATACTATATAAAACTATATATGAACACAGTCTATGAAGACCATAAAAACATTATATATATTTAGTTTATCTCTTTTATCGTTAAGAACATGAATATGCACATTCCACATTTTATTTGTATCTATTTAACAGTGCTGTATCAGAAGCGTTTTAGACGCGAGCGCAAGATACGTATTCGATACCAGCAGCAGCTGGGCGACGAGAGCAGTAAAGGCAACAGCAGTGCGAGTGCCAACAACGTCACCTGCAGCGAGGCGGAGCTGTGCGCTGGCAGCGGCACGGCTGAAGGCAAATGCAGCAATGTTGGCAGTGAAGGTGCCGAGGCGCCAAAAGGTAAGTGCTAAGCAGGCAAAAGAGCAGAAGGCCACACAGACCACAGAAGCATGGCTAACGAAAAGTATCCCATCTATCCCCAACGCCTTTCGCTTTCGGCTCTCTCGTTCCTTCCTGCGCCCAACGCTTTGATAACCAACACAGCGCCCTCTGTTTTGTTTTTAAATCCATAGATACTGACTGCGGCAGTCGAGGCGGCAGTGATAAGTCTGAGAAGTCCCAAAGCTCCTCATGTGATGTGACCAGTCAGACGGTGCAAGCGGCAGCCGCCAGCCATTCGGATCCACCCACACACTTTAAACGCGAACCGCACTCCGACCACGAGGGCTCCATGGAGCGCCAACAGTGCAGCAGCGCCACTCGCGACACTGAACCGCGCTGCTCGAGTCGCGATCGCGACGACCAACCACCACCCATTGCTGCCTCAGTCACTGCTGCCGCCGCTGCTGTTGCCGCTGAGGGCAGTCTGGCAGCAGCCGCTGCTGTTGCTGCGCAGCCACAGCTGCCACTGGCAACGGCAAGGCTACTTGGAGCTATCCGGGCATCGATCTGATGGCCACTGGCGCCTTCTGGCAAAACTATTCGGGTGAGTTTCAATACAATTCAAATCTTTCTTGTTAATCTTATATGCAGAATAGAAAAGACACAAAATTTAGTTGAGCTGAATGAAAGTTCTCACAATGTTGGAAATGCCAACGCAGCGTGTTTCTGGTATACATTTTATGTATAGAAATTTAGCTTATAATAAATGAAGATACTTGTTTAAAAAAAGACTGAAGGAAAGACGAAAATATAAAATATATCTAATACAAAGTATATTAAAAAATATATAAAAAATGATTTTTAAAAATATAGAAACTATTTTGGAATGATGTCATTGACTGTGGACCCTTGAAAATTAATAAAAATGGAATTAAGTTTATTGAATACTTATAAGAAAGTTACCTCAAACCTTAAGCTTTTGATTTAATTGTGCAGATAGAGCTGAAGTCTTAGTATTAGTTTACCTGAGTAAATTAGCTGCGTCCATATTGATAAATCTCTCTCTCTCTCTCTCTCTCTCTATTGCTTATTTCATAATATTTTTAAAGAATCCCTTGCACAGGAGCTGGAAATGGAGCGCAAGACACGCGCTGCGAACGCTGAGCGCGATGTCAAGAGTCCCTTGTCGGAGAGACCAACAGCATATTACAAGAACTCGGTACTCTTTGGGAGCGCCAACTAAGCTCCAGTGCGGTCAGCCGTTGCCAAATGCAACACGGATATTTGATCTCAAAGTGCAATCCAGGTGACAACACGTGACCGGACCAAAAATGCAGAACTCCAACAGTTAATACAGCTCTTATGTATATATAACTATATATAGAGTATATATAGTATACGTTTTAAAACAATTGAAACAAGTTCGAAATATATCTATAAAAAGGTGTTAGAAAAACCCGCTATTTTGTACATATTTTTACATAGCAAACCAAGAAAGAGAAAAACAAAATGAAATCAAATTAAATACTTCCGACACCAACACATAAAGCTTAGAGAACGAACGCTTTAGACATATGGATAGCATTACTAGCATTTTGTACATAGGCATGTAAAGGCTTTTAATATTAGTGCTGGGCTGCCCAGTTCTTGCTTCGACTCTAGTTCTAACACACACTTTGATCGTAAAATATAATATTTAATTTATTACATGTAACTACTTGCGTCTGTATTCGACTTGGAACACATTTTATAGAGCGCTTCATAGTGTTTTAAAAATAGGTATTTAATTATTGGTACTGGCGTCAGTTGGCAACTGAAGGGGGGACTTAATGTTACGATGTTTTTAATTTATTTATTAGCTTAGAAGCGCATTAATCTGTACTAATTTTATAAACTAAACACTACAAGTATTTCACGTGCTTACCCATTAAACCATACACACAATTTAATATTAAATTAATATAAATATAATTATATATATATATACTTAAATGTATTTATAGTAAATGCAAGAGTTGGGCTAAAATAAAGATTATTAGAAATAAATGCAGTCCCAATTGGAAAATGTGTTATAAACTCGACATTAAATAAATATATATATATACATATATATATATATATATATATATTTTAACGCTTCATATGCTATTATATATATATACTATAAAAATATAAACATTTACAATAGTCACAATAGTCACTAAACATACAATTTAAAACATAATAAATACATTGAAACAATAGTGTTAAAACTTATTGTGCAACATTTCTCGCTGCTCGCTGCATAACATAACATAAATATACAAATTATTGCAATAATACCATTAAAATAATACAGACAACAATTGCAAAAACATACAGAAACCAGCAACAAGAGAATAGTAAATCTAACAAAAAGTGAAGTTTAAACTACATAATAAATTATTATTGCAAAAGTATTTCAAAAGATATATTTCGTTTTTAATTTTGGGTAAATGGCTGCTTATCAAAAGTAGTTTCTGAAGATCCTTAGAGGATCCTTTGGCTTTGGTATGTGGCTGCAATAGTCTTAGCCAGAGTTGCCAGTTGAACATAGTCGACTTTGCTAGACTCTTTCACGTTCATGCTTAAATATGGCTTATATTAGGCAAATCTATCTGGATTACTGGCAATGGGTGTGGCAAGTCACTTTACTTTACTTTATTTTTTAACTTGAATACTGGCGAAATAAGCTTCATTCAGATACACGAAGGCAGGTGGCAAGCAAGCGAATATACTCTTGCCACTTATGAAACAAGTTCATGCGGCTATTTAGCGTATATTAATAATGTTTAATATCAAAGGACTACGAATGACCTATGCTGACCTACTTTCTTATCAACTGTTTTGAATTTGGGCACTTTTTTTACTCAATGGGAAGATTAATTTGTGTGCTGAAACGTGACGTGGGAGTACTCTAGCTGAGTGAGATGTCTGGAGCTCTGTGCCGAGTTGCAAGTGTCACCTCTTGATGCCGACGCGTCGCTTTGGTAAGAAAGTTATTAATGGACTGCTCTGCAGATGAACAGTTCCATTTAATACTAATTCATAAAATATTATCATAGAAATGCACATCTAAAATACCCTTTTACTTAAGGCTGAGGTTGCCGAATATAAGTTTCTTTTTACGAACATTTCGCTGCATGTATTCGAGCCGTAACATATTTTAGTTTCATTATTTTTTGCCTCAACATCTAACAACAAACAATTTTTCAAGTGTCAAAATTTGTGACTGCAGCAACAAATCAGAAATAAAAAATCTCGCCGCTGACAGTAGAAAAATTTGTTTTATTGATTACAATGCCAAACATACAAAAGCAGGAAGTCGGGCTGCAAGTCCCAAAGGTAAGCACTTGTACTAGATCTATTAACAACCCAAGCAATAAGATGGATTGTTTAGTTTACTAATATACAGAGGGCCTTCGAAAGGTTTTTCGTTTTAATTAAGTTTGGCATTACCTGGGGAATCTTCATATAAGTTGATTATGACTGAATGTCTTGCAGATCTATTATCAGTTAGTATTGACTGCTTTGAAAATGTATGAAAATAAAATCAATTTATTCGTGAAGCCTTAAAAATACTGTTAAAGCATAGGTTAGTAGCATTTTCGTTTAGACCTAGTTTGCCTATTTAAAACTACTTGAATCCTAGATGTTTATGTGAATTGACCTCCCAATATGAAGGCTCAGTGAAGTTACTTAAGAAAGTGCCTCAAATATATTTATGAGTAGAGTCTATCAAGGCAACTTACATTCTAGCTAAGCTAGTATAGTATTTATATAACACACTGTACCTACAGTGAACACAATTCATCATAAATAAGGCTATGCTTTAAGCTCTGCTAGAACTCAGACTATTTTTTGTGTCTATGCAGAGTTTGATGAAAGTCAGACTCATAAAAAGAGAGCGTGATCAATCAGGTAAGGCTCGCAGATAAACCAACATTAAATGCGTGGCGCACGTTTATACAGACGAGCTAAATCGGTAAACGATCTCACGGTTAAGGGATCAGACTTGAACAGTTATCGATCCGAAAATGTTTTGCTTGATGATTTATGCGTCTGGCGCGGCTTAAGGGATCATCAGCTGAAGCTTCACTGAATGCAAGATTTGCACATTCTCAAAAAAGAATGAAATCAAAAACGAGTAAAAAACAAAACAAAAAAAAAAACAAAAGTAAAACAGAACTACGTATTGTAATTATACTTATTGGTAAATTATATTTAATTTACAGTTAAACGATCACGTATGCTTGCCAAATGGCCCGATATACAAAATATTATCAGCCCCAAAAATGCCTTTCGCTCGCTTGACCTCAATTATCGATTTAACTTTATTATTGGTTTAGATTTGGACTCTTTGATTTGCCACGGTCTTGGCCCGAACATATCGTGTCGATCACCATGCTGAATCCAAATTAAATGGAATGTTTTTGATTATTGGTCTTCAGCCTATGCATGGGGACAGTGTGATACATGGAGCATATGTCGCGGCATTCGGCAGGCAGGCCGTCAGGCGGTCAGCCAGGAATGAAGGCAGTAAGGCAGGCAGGTCTCTGGATTCTCGTTAATTTCTTTGGGGCTACATTCAACGTTTAGCTAATTGTGGGTTCCTTCATCGTTTGTCAGTCCCTCAAACATTTTACCAATCATATTTCGTATTATATTTTTTTAGTCTTAACTTTGCCGCACAGCAAGTGTTGTCGAGCGGCTTTGCTTAGCGGGTATTATAATATGAAATTGATTGACAATTGATTTTCATATAGTTCATTTAATTTTAATTGGAATAAACTAATGTGACTACATAGATTTTGTATAAAACACTTTTTTATGGGACATGGCTATGCCTGCTGGAATAGCTAATTAAGCAGCTAATAGCTTTATAGTATGTGGCTAGTTTTTATCATGATAATGTATATGATATATAATATATTATTTTATTATATGCCGCAGCAGTTGACAGTTGACATATGGCCATGTCTGCCCTCAATACCAGACTCAATCATTCGTCTGGCTATAAATACCGGCAAAAGTTGCTTCTACACTAAGCCACTTCGATCGGTGCACCTACACGCTGAGAGGGTATTGGTAAAAAACAAATAAAACCAATTATGAAAGCCATCTGTAATTGCGTAGTAACAATTAAAAGAACAAATTTATTTAATGTATCTTCGATTGAATTTTGCTTTTGTGTACTTTGTGCACTCCTGTTGCACCGTGGATAAATTATATCAGTGCATTCAATCGACCGATTGCCCTCATAGCGATTGTCCAAGTCTATTTTTTTTTGCTTTTTCATTTGCACTGGAGGCGTGTCGCCTGAGCATCGTTAGGAAATAAATTGTGTATGCTGTGCATTGGGAACTGAACGAATTCTAATGCAATTTGATGCAGTTGAAATATTGAAAACTTGTGTAAAGATATTTCCATATTATAAGCCGATGTTTTGCGTGTATTTAGGAATGTGAAAAATTATATTTGAGGGTCATTTTGAATGTCAAATATTATATAAAAATAATTAAAATGTGATTTGGTTATTTGCACTTAACAAAAAATTTATTCTAAGCCCGAAGTTGTAGCATTTAAGCTATATACATTTCCGTTGCCCAACAACATCTTGAAATCTTACAACTTTTGTATAAAAACCTTTCATTCATAGCTCATATTCGTATTGGGTAGAGTGTAGGAGCAACATTAAATTGAATTTTTAGCGCATTCTGCTTGAAGCTCGCGTGTTGTGCATCAATTGCCAAACAGTGCTGCGTTGCGTTGCCAACTAATTCGATTTGTTTGAGTACAAAAAAGGATCGAAGAACGTGAATTCTTATGCATGGTTTCAGAGATAAAAAGGTGTATCAGTTTGAGAACATTATTAGAAACTATGAAGGGACTTGCAACTTGAAATGTGCTGAAAAGTTATATATATGTTTCTCTAATCACAGTTTGGGCTAGAAAGGCGCTCTTCACGAAGTACGTAAATCTACAGCTCCCAAACCTACAGCTTAAATTTACTACTCTAGAGCCAAGCAACAATAATAAATATCGTTTTAATCCATAAAGAAACTGCAAATTCAGCATTGCGCAGTCGGCTACAGCCGGCTTAGTCGGTTTTTTGTAGGACGATTTGGTAAGGTCCCTGGCAAACATATGTTGCATTAATTGTTCATGTTTCTCAAAAGCAACTCGTGTTCAATGAGTTTTATTGCTGCTCAACACACAAACAACAACGCAACAACAGCAACAAAAGCGAGAGCTGGTGAAGGGGGAGGGGGAGGCGGAGGGGAGAAGCACGAAACAAATGAAAAGAAAAATTGCACAGAGAACATTTT